AACCATGACTCGGATGACTTAGAATCTCCATAAATATTATGATTAAATGGGATCATATGGAGAAAATTAAGTAGGAACAAAGCAGGTGAGAAAATTACACACACAGCAGGTGAGAAAATTGTTTCTAGTTGGATCTATTTACTGGCATTCACACATCACATTTTGTATATAAATATATGACTAGATGAGATTGCCTAAACTCAAGAAACGTGGACTATATCTCAAAAATTCAGATGGCCAGCTTCTTGTTTCATTTTTAACATGACTTTTGCTAAACTCCTTTGAGGTTTTAACTGTAATAATTGTAACTTTGTTCTTTAGTATAAAACTGTTATAAAATTTGCTGTATCTTGGGTCAATTGCTTTGATACTTCATGTGTCACTTCATGAATTTTTATAACCATCATTGAGGTGATCTGGTGGTAAATAGTATAACACTGGCAATATTAAGAGCAGAATATTAAATGGAAGAATGAGACTCTCAGTATTTAGTAAAAATGAATACTGACAGACAAGATTACAAACAACTGAAAAAGAAAGTATTGTTATCTGGAAAAATATATTTGGCACTCTTCTCACTGTCAATCATGTCGCTGGCACAGGGTTTGAAGCAGAATGAGTGGTTTTACTTGGCCTTAAAGGAGTTTTAAAACAGATGTTGGTTGCAAAAGACAGTTTAAAATTCAGAAACCAACCTACCTTCACATTGGTGAAATTATAAAAGTGAATGATCTAGTATGACTCCTTATTATAATAGCAATTTCTATCAAAATGATTGGCATTAAAATCAAACATTAAGAAGGGATATTGTTGCCTGTTCTTCTAGCCAGTCTGGAGAAAATAACTTTGTAGTTCTACTCTTCAGCTCTTCATCCAGATCTATAAATGTGGGACTGAATCTACTCTTTGTTATTTTGAATTAATGCCAGAAGAGTAATGGCAATGGAGAGGCTTCTACTACATATAGTAACAATAATATTACCATCATGATGGAGCAAAAATGAGGCTTCCCAGGTGTGCATCAGCTTTGCTAAACTATCCCTGTAGAAGTGTGGTATAAACTCTCAGAATTCATACTGTTCCTCCAGAAAACAGACATGTTGAGTGGAAAAAGATATTTTAAAAACTCACTAGTATTTGAAAATAAAGTCTTGGTGCCCAATATTATACTGTAGATTTTTTCCCTACAGAACAGTGTTTCTAAGCCAGAGGTCCCCAACCCTTGGGCCATGGCCCACTACCAGGCTGCGGCCTGTTTCAAACCGGGTCGTGATTGATGGGCAAGTGCGCATGCATGAAGTTCCACTTGTGTGAGCGGTGGGTGTTTGAATGGAGGGCACTTGTGCTCCATTGCAAAGCTTCACTTGCGCAAGTGAAGAGCCATGTGTGCACCTGCCACTCACATGCCCCCCCCGCACCGGTTGGGGGGGGACCATTGTTCTAAGTGAAGCTGCTATTATATTCTTCTATCATTGTGTGTGGGAAGGGGGAAGTGACACAGAGGAATAGAAAGATTCAACCACTACTTTTCTAGGATAGACTCTAGAAAATCTATTCTATGTCTCCATGTGGTTCTAACCAACCATCAGAAATCTGCTACCTAAATCAGATCAAGTTTGCACCCATTTTTTTCATTTCACTTTCAAAATTTGCAATCACATATTACAGTTATATTCACATACCAAAAGTTATTTGAGTGTAATTCAACCATCTCAGTATCATCCTGCTATTAGTAGGCCACTACAGATATGATGATGATTGCTATTTTAATGTTCTCTTTTCCTTCATTGTGTTATCTCTACAACCACAAGCTGTGTCCTCTGAAGCAAATCCAAGACCCTTCCCTAAGAGGGGGAGAAAGATTGAAGGGTTGTACTCTTTGGATTCTCAAACTACAGATTTACTCTATGATATATTATCTTATTTAGCATCCATATGCTGGGGAATTAAAAGATGTACTATTTTGGTTAGTAGGATTAGAAGTGGAATTAGATTAAATTAAAAACTGCATATGATTTTAGAGATGAAAGGCATTTTAGGCTTTTCTTTGAGATGTTGCCACAAACTCTATTCCTTTTTACTGAAGTTCTGTATGGAATATTTGTTTGTTTGTAAAACAAGATGTCCTTTTAAAAACATGGGCCATGGTAATTTAAAAGAAATTTAGAGAATAATTTTATCATCAAGGAAATCATTCTTTTAAGGGAAATTGTTTAGTGAGATGCATACTGGCAATGCAAAGAATCAAAATTACCTCATTCTGTCAAGGATGTTATAATATTCTCTAGAGTGTTATTAATTTGGGGCTGGATGGGAAAAGAGAAGAGATGGAAGAGAAAGACTGCAAGATAATGAATTCATAGTCATTTTTTTTAATTCAATAAAAGAGCACACTTCTCATTTGATGCACAACAAACACCGCCTATTATGGCCTTGTGCTTCCTGTTCTGCTTCTGCCATATTGGGTGAAAGAAAGAGAAAAATGATGCCAAATAGTACATGGACAGTCACCTCTACTGCCAAGTGTCACACATTGTTGGTTTAAAAAAGGGGGGGAAAAAACAAAGATAATGGAAGTAGGCCTTCCCAAAAATCTTCTCCTCCCCTCCCCACTAACTCTATCTTCATGAAGTTATGCACCGACACAGATCATAAAGTCTTATGAATTTTTTTCTGTATATATAGGGTAAGTTTTATAATCTGTTCTCTGCCAAGTGGACTTTTGTTATGGCAATAGTCTTGCAAAATGGCTCTCCTGGTGGGTGTGGCCAGTCACAAAACTTCCATTACATGAATATGATTAAAGGAAAGTATAGGAGGCATAAAAAGACTAAATTGCTCCTCTTGTGGTTAGGCAACAATGTTCTTTATTCTATCTTCCCATTTATTTATTTATTGGCCTCTGATCTTACCACAGGGTAACTTTGGGCAGCTTACAATATGAAAAGTTACTTATAACAGTAACTTTCATTAAAGCAGTTGTCCCGTTGATCACTTCATTCATTTATTTAATTTGCTTTTATACCGGAAACTCTTGATTTACTCAAATAGTGGTGAAATGGAGTATCCATTAAAGCATAACATTCAAATAAGATTTCATGCATATGCTTTTTATATATTTCATGCATGTGTGAAACTGCAAATGAGGTTGTAATTTGATTTAATTTATTCAATTAAGGTTTCACCTAATTCCAAACTGATTCTGAGAGGTAGTACAATAAAACCAAACAAAATACAAAATGCACATAATACAATATTAATAACAAACAAGTAAGGGAATTAAAAAAATGATTTATACATATCCAGAAGCACAGGAACCCAAGCAGACTTTTTTAAAAATTGGCTCATTGGTGCTGCAAAGATCCAAGATGTCCACTGGATGGAAGCAACAACATGCTGAAAACTCTAATTCTTTGCTACCATCCAGTGTTTATATGAAGTTTTGCATCCCTGAATCTGACAGTCTTGATACCATATTTCCACAATGATATACTGGTGCAGCGAGCTATAAAGGTTTCTATGATTTGCAGAAATGAAAGAAAAGAAAACCTGATATACAGAGAACAAAACGCAGTACAAATATTGTATAGGATATATGCAAGAACCACTAAGCTATTCCTAAACCTCAAAAATAGTAATTGTTCCACTGTAACTTTTCAGCCAGGCTTTGTAGAGCTGGATCAATAGTATGGTAATTCTTTTGCTAGTATTGTATAATAAACTTCACATTGCATTCTGAATTTATACACGCATTTGTACATGTACATAAAAAACCAGTATTTATGTTTATATATCACAATGTATTTGTGGGAAATAAGATTTATTACTGGGACATCTGTCCTCAAAGCAAAAGGATCTGACTATTTGGGTTCTTTTGCTCCCATCAATGAGGTCCTTATGCTAAGCTTTTGTAGGAAAAAAATTATATATAAATGATTTCCAAAAAGGAAAGTTATAGTTTTTATTCTTACTGTTGGTCAAATTTTGCTAATATAACTAACTTTCTCACATACAAATGTAAGTATAAAATTCCTGAGAAAATAATAGAAATTTTATTTTTTTATTTATTGAATTTCTAGTCCTTGCAATGTTAGAAGCTATTCTGCCAAATCTCATAAACCAATTATCTTAAATATATATATAGGATTTTTTTAATGGCTTAAGGCAGGAACAAAAAGAACTGTGCTGCCTGAATCACCATGTGTGTGATTCTGTTTAAAATATTGGTGCCTTCGTCCCTGAGACAATGGATTCTGGGTTGTCGCCTAAATAGCTGACAACTTGGTTTGTGGGATAATGACTTAGAAGAATTTTCATGTAACCAATCAGTGAACTCTGGAGACATTTACTTTTATGGTCTCTGTAGCTTTGGGGGAACATTGCATTGAACTCTTAGACCAGGATCAGTAACAAGCAGCTTATGGGCTGTGTACAGCCCCAACCTGAAGTTTGTCTAATTCACCCATATACTTTAATTAACTTCTTTTCTTCTTAGGGTGCTGAATATACTTCCTGCCAATAACTGATAGAGAAAATTACAAGGCAGTATGTTCCTTTAACTATCCCGTTTTTTTTCTGGGTAACTTGACTGATGTCTGTTTTTTTTTAAGCAGGCATGGGAAAACAGGGTCTTTTTTTATATTCTCAAGTCCCCAAAGTTCCAACTTCCAAGGTCACAGAATGATGACAGTTAGAGTCTATCATACCGGAGTATTTTCAGAATCTTATTTAATGAGACTAACAAATGTTGGATGTTAGTAGATGTATGTATCTGCAAGGAGATAGAACTTTTATTAAGTTTTTTATATATCTACTGCAAAGATGGGACGGAAACATTTTCCAAGGCTATTCCACAATTTGTGCAGCAAGACACTTTTCTTGATTCTGTTATGCCACTGAATGTTTGGATTTTATCTTCAATTTTAAACTTTGCTGCATATTTTAAAATAAAGCACACAAAACTTATTTCATGCCACTTAAAATTAAAAATCAGTTGTTACCATTAGCAGGAAGATAGGTGAAAAGTTGGTACTGGCTTCTCTTTCTCTTTCCATTACAAACATAGAAATTGACTTGAACAGGACTTGTAATTCTCTGATTGCGGAATGGTGGAATCTCAACAACTAATAAAGTCTAAAAAAAGGATAGAAGTAGGTTAATGGCGAAGCACAGTTAAAGAACATTTGGATCACAAGAATAAAACAAACAAATGCCTTGGCTGGCACTGGAAAAGGTAAATGACCTGCTTTAAGAACACTGGAACATAAGATTAACCTTCTAATCATTATCATCATTAACATTTCTTGAGGACATACAGTATCCTCCTAAGAGAACTCCTATCATGCAGCTGGCTTACTGCTGAGACAGGCTAAAGTTGGCTCAAGTAATCCGTATGAAAAACAAAGACGACCATTTGGCAGACATTAAATTGGTTTGGAAACCTGTTGAGCTCCTACTCAATATAGGACCCAACCTCCTATCAGACTGAGGACTCTGGAACTCCATGGCCATACTTATTATGGCTGCCAGGGTGCACTTTGTAGCTCTTCTGCCATTATCTCCTTTCCTTTTCCTTATACTTTTTTCAGAATACAGAATATAAGGCTGTGTAGAAGACCAAATGTAGGACTTCCATGAGCTTGCCAATTCTCATAGAATTTGTGCAGAAAAGCAAAGAAGGTGAACACGGAAAGGATCTTAAAGGCTTTCTCCAAATCCAACAGCAATTATGAGCCCTACTGTAGATAGGGTCCTTGGGAATACAGCTCCAGAGTTGCGATTGCAACTCCTGCACTGCTCCTCAGTACTGAAATGGTGCTTCTCTCATTTTTGCTTGATGCTCCAGAACCAGATACCTTTGGGGTCCCCATGTCATCCACCCCTCTTCTCCCCTGTATCATGCCATCTATCTTGTGACAGCAGACTCTCGATTCATCTGGCTACTTTGGTGGTGGCAGTTCTGCTATAATGGTCTTTAAAAAAGGATAGAGGTGAGTTTAATGTCAACCCACTTATTTCCACTGCCCAGAGAATGCCAAGCATGCTGGTTTCTCCACTCTGGTGCCCCTGCCTCCTCCCACTACAGAAAAGAGGGCAGGATCAATACCAGCCTCTCTGCAGAGATGAGAGCAGTACTTTTAAAAAATTCCTTCTCAAGAACAGGAGGAAAGCACATCAACAGAATGGTATGGGGGAGCTCTTAGCTTAGTATTTAGATTTTCATAGTGGATACAAGAAAACTTACACCTTGTATTTGAAGGGATGCCACCTCCATACATTCCAGAAGTTAGTGTATTGATAGGCTGTCTTCCATACATTTATATAGTGCGGAGTCCTTTTAAAGCCATCCAAATTAATCATTCCAACCACGATGGTCCTGCTCATAATGATCTTTGCTTTGGCCCTATTTAAATGAGCCCTTAAAACTTGGCTCTGTTTCCAGAACCAGGTTAGGATGGGTGATGGGTCCCATATGTATGTTTTATTTTTAAACATGACTGTTGTTTTTTCCTGAGTTTTGATATATTTTTTTATTTTCTATTGTACCTTAATCGTTGAATGTGTAAGTCACTGAGTATCAGGACAGATTAGGGAGGCATCTACATTTCATAAATGAATGATTTTAAAAAAGAGGCACTTACTGGCTTACACAACTCTTTGTCAGTTTTGGCTTCCATTTCCCACACATGATGACCATCTAAACATAAGGACATGAAAGATCCAAATTAATGTGCTTAGTGCTTTATAAATCACACAAATAAGAGGGATAGCTCCCCCTTTAAAATATCTTTATTATGCAGATATGATATGCAAGATGAGTTCAGTTTTAAAGTGAATAAAGAAATAAATACTTCTATTTTAAAAAGTTTGAGGAAGAGAAGGGAAGGATAGGACTTATCCATTGATTCTGCTTCCACAGCCAATGACCTGGTTGTCACCAGTGAATGCTCTTTGCTTTTGCCTAATTGGGCAGAGTTGCTTAATTTGTGAAAACCTTCATAAAAGAAAAAGAAGTAGGGCCTCTTTCCATTTGTGAAAGGTAGCCTACTGCAAAGTAATTATCACTTGCTAGCTTTTAATTTTTTTAAAAAAATGTATATTTTATAAAATATAACATAATGCAGTGGTTTCTTTGGTTTTGTCTATTCCTTCAACTGAAATTGTAGCTTATATTATGTCTAATAGAAAGTTTTTGCAGGATATAGAGATATAGAGACTGGTGGACTTCAATTCCTAGAATTCCCCAGCCAGCATGGCTGTCTGAGAAATTCAAGGAATTGAAGTCCACAAGTCTTACAGTTGCCAAGTTTGTTATATAGAGAGGATAAGAGTTAGGTTATTGAGTAGGTAACATGAAGTGTCCGTGCTGGCCTTACATGAACCATCAACTGATTCTGTAATGTCAGAAGTTCCACATGAAAGATATGTTATCATCATAGCTTCTTGGGCTAATAATGAAATCTCAAAGTTTGATTGAGGCCAGTTGTGCTAAAGAGACTTGACCAGTGAATGCATTCTTAGGCTTTTGATATTAATAGAATGCCTGGGTATAATGCTGAGCAAAAGTATATTCCAACCATGCTTTTTTCTGGCTCAAGACTGAATTCTTAATTCTTTCTTCCCACATTATATTGTGGTCATTACATTGTGGATGCAAGCCAGGGGAAGCCAGGTCAAATGCCTACCCAGCCATCAAAATTATAGGATAACCGTGGCCAGTCATGACTGTACATCTTAATTGATTTCTCCAGGTTATTATAATGATTAAAACCGTGGAAAACCTTTCTGTCCCAAGGTCCCATCAGTAAGGCTGAATAAAAAAATACTCTGGGTAGAATAATCTAAACTGATATCCATCTATCCTTCTGTCACTTTTATAAATGAGCAACAGAACTTTTAATATTTGGTATATTTGACCTGTTCTGAAAAGAAGAATTGCTCTGCTCTGTTTTCAAGTTGGTAAAGCGTATATGGGCATCCAGGAAAGTACATTTTAAGAATATCATACGTTATTTAAAAAGTCCAAAAGTAGGAATGATACTGAGTGCTTGGCAATCTGAAATAAGCAAGCATTACTGCTGCTGTATTATGAAATTCCCCTGAGAATCCCAAGGCTTTCTCTATTACAGAAAAGGAGGGTGAAAATAAATTACTTAATAAGAATAAATTTCATTTAACAAAAGCAGAATAAATCAGTTATGGTGCTTTGAGTCAGTTGGTGCCTATATGGACAGTTTCATGCAGTTTCTTGGCAACATTTCCGAAGTGTGTTGCCAGTACTTTCTGGGACTGGAGACAATGGCTGGCCCAAAATCATCCAGCTGTTTTTCATGCCTAAAGAGGATTAGAACTATCTCCCACTCCTAATCCAGGGCCTTTAACTGCAAAAATTATGGGAAGGGAAGGGAAGGGAAGGGAAGGGAAGGGAAGGAAAGGAAAGGAAAGGAAAGGAAAGGAAGACAATTCCTCACATTATGTTTGGTGAACCAAAAGGGAAATCTCTACACCCACAGACTGGGATCAACTCCAAGAGAGAAATCCTAGATCATTACACCAACATCTCTACAGTAAACATGTTTGATAAGTGTATATGGATCAATTTGTTTATTTTTGAGAAAACATACAGGAGTTGATAAAATAATTTTTAGGGATCTCGGAATGCTAAAAAGACTTGCTTATCCTGGGGAAAAACGTTTTATGTCAGTATAGCATTTGCCAGCTATCCTATCCAAGTATGCAAGATGCCGTCTCTTGTCAAAATGTGCTGGAAGAGTGAGGAGAGATACGCCACAAAATTTTCCATTGTAAAGCTGCCACATCTGCATCAGCCTGGCTGACTCACAGCCGAAGGCAACTCCCTACCTGGCTAAAATCCCAAACGAAAGTACACCAGAGCAATTTATACCTTTCCAAAATGCAAATAATTCAAATTACAGACATAACATAAAGCTGAAACGGACACATTTCAGGCATTCTCTGTTTGAACTGAACTTACTGCAGGGTTTCTTCCCAAATGTTGCTTATTATATATGTATAAAATGCCAATGAAGCAAAAAGTAGCAAATCTTTCATCTCTTCTCCTCACCTATTTTACCCTCTAAAAAACAAACAAACAAAAACCCTGCAGGCAGGTTGGGGGCAAGAGAGAGAGAGATTTTGGCGAATTCTGTCATTTTATTTTCCGTATAGTTGGAGTCAAATGTTTAATTCTTTAAAATCTGACGCACAATGATTTAAGGTTTCTTTGTGTTAATTTAAGATTTGGGTCCAGAAGTTGAAATGGCAAATGCACAACTTATTTCTAAACAAAAGCATGTTAACAAAATAAAAAAAAAGGGTTCCTTGCCTATTGTTTGTGTCTAACTGCTCAAATTAATGCCAGATTCTGCACAGGAGAATCAGTCCTAAGGTTATGTCCATCCAGGGAATAGAGATCCAGTCCTGACACTTCTGAAGCTGTTCATTAGCTTCTTCTCTTACCTAAGGGAAACAGGCTAACTAAACAGAGGCACAGCCTTCCTGTTTATACAGCTGAAGGCAAGGTGGGGGAAAATCCCAGAACAAGTTAAATTCACAAATATAAACTGAAGCTTTCCTTTCGTTTTAACAGGGTCTGAAATACAATTAATTAGAGAGATTAAGAGTGGCTTCTCACATTCACTTCCTGTGCTGAAGTCCCCAGTTTTTTTTTTTCTAAGTGGGCTTTGTTTGCACCATACAAATCCAAAGAGCTTAAGGGAGGGTGTTTTTCTAAAGTTCTGGAGTGGCTTTCATTTTGGCAGCCTACCAGAAAAAGCCACAATTAACTCCTTCTAACATGCAATTCTGTGCATTGCCAAGAAGAATTCTGGCTTTTGTGTGCGCGCGTCCTCACATCTAATAGGAATTGTTTCCCAGCAAAATCAAATGCCAACACAATTTTTTTCATTAGGATGTGGATAAAAATATTCCTACAGGATAGAAGTGACTCAGTCATCATTCAGGGATATGGGCTGTTTTTCAAGCAAAGGGGGGGGGGTGGGAGTTTTTTGGCACTGAGATTGGTGGCAGGGCATTTTGCGCCCCTATTTCATTACTTTGTAGGCTGGTTTTAATGACTAAAAATAAAAGCAAAGTTCCAGACTGGAATGTCTCAGCTCTGAATAGGTCTTTGTAATTCACTGTGTATCCACCATTCTCTGCAGTTAAAAAGGAAACTTGGCAGAAGTAAAAAAAAAAAAAAAAAATCCTAAAATCATCAGGGAATTCCCTGTACTGAGTCACAGAAACGGCTTCCCCACCACACCCACTGAGAAGATTTCCACATAAAAAGCCACTGGAGGCTTGTTCTAACATAACAGCAAAAGAACTAAAAGGTGTTTTGTAAATCTCATCATCCTGATTATTTCTAGGCAGCCTTCTATTAGGCAGCATTCCATTCAGTATTTTTTCTTCATATTTATTAAAATCTCAATAGTAATATGGAAGAAATTTAACTAGAAATATGTTGAATTCTTAATGAATGATTAAGCTTTACTTATATTACTCAGTATATTTAATATGCTGCATCGTAAGCTGCATATAAGCTGCAAATATCTTGTATGTTTGATGGTCATATTTAAGTTTAAACCACAACTTGGAAAAGTCTCCCTAAAAACCAGTGTTTCTCAACCTTGACAATTTTAAGGCATGTGGACTTCTGGGAGTTGAAGTCCACATGCCTTAAAATTGTCAAGGTTGAGAAACACTGCTATAAACAAACTTGGAACTGAAACCCAGATAGCTAGATAATACTCACAGAATTGCAATATCTGGTTTTCTTTAGAGTGTAAATGCAAGAACTTCATGCAATGTGTTAGTAGCTTTTGACTTTAAACAGAATTATAGAATTAAATGCACTTTTGAATCTATCTGAGTTTGGCTGGAAGGATGATTCACTACACAAATATCTTTCCTAGGAGTTGACTATGTTCAGATAGATAAAGCTGCTTAATTCAATAAGGGGGTACATTTGCCAACCTTCATCAACCTGATGTCCCCCTCCCTCAAGTATGCATGGAACTATAACCATATTACCATGACTTGGCTGGAATTTGTGAAAGTCATGATCCAATACATTGTAAAGAACCTAGGTTGGGGATGTATCTGACCTAACCAAGAATGCTACCAAGAATGTCCTGCCATATAAACTCTGTATTTTGTGTCCCAAAGGTGCTCTTTTTCCAAAAGGCAACTGGACTTTCTTGGTTTCCCTCCTCCTCCCTTGAAAACATTTCACTTCTCATCCAAGACTTTTCTTCAGTTCTTCACTTCTCACGTTTTCAAAGAAGAAGAAGAAAGCCAAGAAAAGCCAGTTGCCTTTTGAAAAAGCACCTTTGGGACAATTGTGACCTGGATGATTGGGAATCTCCATAGATATTTATATTTTTATATTTAAATCTGTTTAAATGTGCTTCAGCAACCCAGTTTCTGATATATTTTAAATATTGCATCACTAGCGTTGCATTTAATCAGTCTTCAATTAAAGAACTAATTTGCCTACAAATGTTTCTCTTATTTAATTGGATCTGAGATTTGAATTCTGCTCTTGCACATCTAATTCTCATGCAATAGAGCACATGTTCCAAAGTCATCTTAAAATGACTTGTGGATAAGGTATTAGGCTTCACAGGTCACAAAGTCTTTGCACGCAAAGCTTATTTAATTAGTGTCAAGAGT